GCCACGACACTGACAGCTCAGCCCTCTGTCCTCACCCCCTGTGCCTCCACACACTTGTCCTCTCCCTGCTGTCATCTCTTGTCCTCCTTTTAGGCCGCCAGTGAATTAAGGCAACTGTAGACTCTGGAAGTGTCCCCATCTTTCTCTGCTGAGCTTGCCTTGCCATAAATTGAGGATTGGGCTAACTCACTGGATAGCTGAGGAAGTAATTGGTAGGACTGTTGAGTATAGTACATGTTTTTCCAAAGTGGCAGTGTGAGCGGGGTCCACATGCTGCTAACCATTGGCTTCCCTCTTTTCCTGAGTCCTATTTTCAACATCATATGGGAAATAATTTATTTAGAAACCCACTCTTTTCAATTCTACTTAGTAATCAAGCATTAGGAAATATTCTTGCTTCTTAGGTTAAAAAAAGAGGTTGAGATTATATACCACCTAACATGCATTTCCATGTGTACATGATTACATTTAAACCTTACTCTCCCTTGGACACACCGTAACACACCAATGCTAGATGTGTTCACATTCATATGTGTTTCTATAGTGAAACTGCTCTATGAGCTGTGGTAGGTTTTCTGTCTAAATAACTAAGATGTACATTTTTGATGTAGTGGCTTATTCTTGAAGAAATGGTAGCACTTTTTAGAGAACATTTTCCAGTATGGCTGAAGTTTTGGTAACAGTTCATTACACATTTTTTCTTTTATGCACACTTTAGAATCATTGTGTTGAGTTATTTCAAAAAAAATAGAACTTGTAAGTGTTCTGATTAGAATTTCATATATAATACATATGGAAAATATTCATATTTTTGTGCTATTAAATGTTTACATTAAGAAATATGGGGTCTTTATTAAGGTCTTATTTTATGTTCTTTAATAAAATATTATAGTTATCTTCTGAAAGGTCTTGTACCTTTCTTGATAAATTCATTTCTAGATATACTTTAACAGCTTTAATGAGGCATAATTTGCCTTATAGAGTTGTGCAACCATCCCCATAAATCAATTTTAAATCTTGCTCACTTCCACAGAAAGTTCCTTTATGCTCATTGCAGCTAATTCCCACTCACACCCCCAGCCCTATGCAACCACTGATCTTCTTGTCTCTATAGATTTGCTTTTTCTGGACATTTAATATAAATGGTATCATACTATATGTAATCTTTTGCATCTGGCTTCTTTTAGTTAGCATGTCTTTGAGGCTCTTTTGTTGTAGCATGTATCTGTAATTCCCTCCTTTTCATTGCCGAATAGTGTTCTATTATATGGCTATACCACATTTTCTTTATCCATTCAGCAGTTGATGGATATTTGGGTCATTTCTAGTTTTTGCTATTATGAATAATGCTGCTATTAATATTTATATGCAAGTTTTTTGGTGGACATTCTTTTGTCTTGGGAAGATTTCTAGGAGTGAAATTGCTGGGTTGACCAATAATTTTGTATTTACCTTTTTAAGAAACTACCACACTGTTTTCCAAAGTGATGTACTGTTTTACATTCTCACAAGCAGTCTATAAGGGTTTCAGTTTCTCCACATCATCACCAACANCTGTTTTACATTCTCACAAGCAGTCTATAAGGGTTTCAGTTTCTCCACATCATCACCAACATTTGGTATTGATGTCTTTTTTATTATACTCATTCTAGTGGATCTGCATTAGTTATCTATAGCTGCATAACAAATTATCCTCAAACTTAGCAGCTTAAAATCAAACCTTTATCACACAGTTTCTGTGGGTCAGGAATCCAGATGCAGTTAGCTAGTTCCTCTGGCTTTAGGATTTCACACAAAGCTGCAATCAAGGTATTGGCTGCAGCTATAGTCATCTCAAGGCTGACTGGGGGAGGATCTGCTTCCAAGCTCACTCAAGTGGTTGTTAGTAGGATTCAGTTCCTTATGGGATATTCAGTTCCATATGGAACTGAGGGCCTCAGTTCCTTGCTGGCTGTTGGTTGAAGGCCTCCCGCAGTTCTTTGCCACATGGGCTTCACCACAGGGCAGCTCACATTATGGCAGCTGGCTTCCATCAGAGTGAATGAGTGAAAGAGCAAGAGATGGTGAGCAAGAGATGGTGAGCAAGACTGAAGCCAGAGTCTTTTTGTAATCTAATCTCAGAAATGACATCCCATTACTTAGAAGCTGTCTGCCACGTTCATTGTGGCTTTAATTTTCATTTCCCTCATTGACTTATGATGTTGAGCATCTTTTTGCATCCTTATTAGCCATTCATGTGTCTTCTTTGGATGAAGGATATGCTCAAGTTTTTGCCCATTTTAAAAATTGGGTTATTTGTCTTATTATTGAGTCATAAGAGCTCTTTATATATTCTGGATACAAGTTCTTTATTAGATATTTGATTTGCAAATTTTATTAGTTTTCTATTGCTGTGATAACAAATTACCACACACTTAGCAGTTTAAGTAACACAAATTTATTATCTTACAGTTCCGTAGGCCAGAAGTCTGGTCTCACTGGACTAACATTCAGTTGTTGGCTGCTGTACTCTTTTCTGGAGGATCTAGAGGAGAATCTGTTTCCTGCTCATTTGGGTTGTTGGTAGAATTCAGTACCTTGCTTTTTAGGACCAAGGTCCCCATAGTCTTGCTGTTTGTAAACTGAGGGTTATTCCTAGTTTCCAGACTCTAATGCATTCCTTGGTTCTTGGCCCCCTTCCCCAATATTCAAAGCTATGTTGTCACCAACAGGTTGAGTCCTACCCGTACTGTATCCTCTCACTCTTCATCATTGTTGGATCTCTTTCAAATCACTCGTGATTAGATTGGGCCCACTCAGATAATACATCTCAAGATCTTTAACCTTAATTACACCTGTAACATCCCTTTGCCGTATAAGGTAATATATTCACAGGGTCTGGGGATGTTAACATTTGATTGGGGGTGCGGGGGAATTATTCTGCGTACCACACAAGTATTTTCTCACAGTCTTTGGCTTGTCATTTCATTTTCATAATGGTATCCTTTGAAATATAAAAGTCTTTAACTGTTACTAAAACCAATGTATTGATTTTTTTTCTTTTATGGATCATGCTTTTGGTATTATATCTAAGAACATTTTGCCTAAACCAAGGTCACAAAGATTTTCCTATTGTCTTCAAAAATTTTTATTGTTTTAGTTCTTCAATTTGGATTTATGATACTTTTTTTTAAACTGAAATGTAATTGATTATATATATACATGGGGTACAGAGTTGAATATCAATACCTGTGTACAATGTGTGATGATCAAATTAGGATAATTAGCATATTCATCATTACAAAACAAAATCATTCTTTGTGTCCATTAACCAATTTCTTGCTAACCCCTTAACTCCCTTTCCCACCTCTAGTAACCACAATTCTGTTCTCTCCTGACGTCTGACATATTATTGTGATTGTTCTTTCTCTTTCTTATTTATTTATTTATTTATTTATTAGCTCCCACTTATGAGTGAGGACATGCAGTATTTGTCTTTCTGTGCCTGGCTTATTTCAGTTAACGTAATTTTCTCCAAGCTCATCCATGTTGCAGTGAATGGCAGAATTTCATTCTTTTTAATGGCACAGTAGTATTCCATTGTGCACATATAACACATTTTCCTTATCTAGTCATCTGTTGATGGACATTTAGGTTGGTTCCATATCTTGGCTATTGTAAATAGAGCTGCAATTAACATGGGAGTGCAGGTATCCCTTTGACATTATGATGTCCATTCCTTTGGGTATATACCCAGTAGTGCGATTGCTGGATTGTATGGCAGTTCTATCTGTAGCTGTTTGACGAGCCTCCATACTCTTTTCTATGATGACTGTACCAATTTACAGTTCCACCAACAGTGTGTAAGGGTTCTCCTTTCTCCACACCTTCACCAGCATTTGTTATTCTCTGTCTTTTTGATAATAGTCAGTCTGATTGGGGTGAGATAATATCTCAATGTGGTTTTGATTTGCATTTCCCTGATGATTAGTAATGTTGAGCATTTTTTCATGTACCTTTTGGTCGTTTGTATGTCCTCTTTTAAGAAATGTCTATTCAGCTCCTTTGCCCATTTTTTAATTGGATTATTTGTTTTTTATGTTAAGTTCTTTGAGTTCCTTATATATTCCAGATATTAATTCCTTGTCAGATATATAGTTTGCAAATATTTTCTCCCATTTCGTAGGTGGTTTTTCACTTCGTTGATTGTTTCTTTTGCTGTGCAGAAGGCTTTTCGTTTGATATAATCCCATTTGTTTATTTTTTCTTTTGTTGCCTGTGCTTTTGAAGTCTTATTCATAAAGTCTTTGCCCAGTCCTATATCCTAAAGTGTTTCCCCTGTGTTTTCTTCCAGGAAATAGTTTCAGGTCTTATATTTAGGTCTTTAATCCATTTTGAGTTAATTATACAGTGCAAGGTAAGGATCTAAGTTCTTTTTTTTTTTTTTTAATTATCTCAGCACATTTTGTTAAAAAACAAAAAAACTCTCCTTTCCCCCACTGGTGGTTTTGGCACCTGTGTTGAAAATCAATTAGTCATAATTGTAAGGATTTATTTCTGAACTCTTAATTTTCTTCCATTGATATGTATGCCTATCCTTGCATCAATATCACACTGTCTTCTTTTCTAGATATTTTAAAGTTTTTGTTACTATTAGGAATGGAGTTAACAGTATTTTGAATCTAAACTATTAACTCAGAACTTTTCCCCTTAGACTAATTAACAGGTTAATATTTAATCTATTATAAAATTGCCTTGGCCTTGGAATTTAAAAGAAAATGCAACTTTTATGCCTGAATTAGGGAACAAAATTACTTTGAATCTATTAAGTTCTATCTTATAGGACTAAGTTACAAAGATGTCAGAAATTTTGGTTACGTTAAACATCTTGATGAGTAGTACTTAATTTTGTATTTTGAATTTGAAAAGGTTATTATTGTTGTTGTTATTATTATTATATTCTCATATTCCCTTTGTATAAGTAACATATCCAAAGCTCTGATCTCACTTATTCCTTTCAGATCAATCCATAGAATCCCGTAGACTCTGCAACAAGTCAGTTCAGAGCTTGCCCAACATGGACACCATTTTCAGTGAAGCCTTCTTGAAGATGAGGAAGCAGTACCCTGGGTATCTTGCTCAGGAGGCTTGTGTTCGTGCCGTTCAGGCTGCCTCGCAGCATCCCTATGAAGTGGGCATCAAGAAGGAGGAAGAGCTGTTTATGTCCCTTAAGGATTCAGAGCAGGCTAAAGCCCTGCAATATGCTTTCTTTGCTGAGAGAAATGCAAATAAGTGGACAACTCCCTCTGGAGCATCCTGGAAAACAGCATCAGCACGGCCCATCTCCTCAGTTGGTGTTCTTGGTAAGAGCATGTGGCAGTTAATTGGATTCTCCAAATCCGCAAATGTAAAGCACTGCTGTTTGCTTAGGGCCACCAGGTACCAGGTTCTATGCTAAACATATTACAGTGTGCTTGTGTTACCTAAGTGAGTTCTCACCCCAGCCTATGAACTCTCTTCACTTTACATGTGACGTCTAGAGACACTAACCTTCTCAACAGTAAGTTAAACACGAGTGACGTGAGTCTGACCCCAGGTCTGTCTGTCTCCAGACTCTGGGCACTTTTTACTCTTCCCTAACTCTTCCCTGTATGAATCCCTCACTCCTGGATTTCCTAACAATGATTATTATGTGCACCACATTCAAGGTACGACCTGTCACTCTTGTAGCTATGTATTTGGAATGAAGTCTCTGTCTTTCTGACCCCTGGATTCATTCACTTCTCCTCGCTCAAAACCACTATCCTCAAATCTATCTGAACCCTGAAACCATGGCTTCCCTATGTTTTTTCCTGGAATTTTCCCAAACAAATGTCTTCTTTCCTCAAAAGCTAGCTGTCCAGTTGGCTTTTGTGGGGCCACTTTCCTAAGCTTCACTTGCTCTTAGTCTTGGCCCAAGAATGGTCTTTGGTAGACATAAAACCCCAAGAAATGGTAAACAAAATGTTATATGCACCAGCTTACAAACAATCTTCCGGGAAGGAAGTCCATAGTTTACTAAAAGCATCAACTTTCTTACACCTCACCCAGCTCTCTAGCACCAACCCAACTTGGAGGCAAAGAGCTCACTCTACTTTTTCTCAGTCTGCTTGTTGTCTCAATGAAATTTTGGTATAAAAGAGTATGTCTCCCATAGAAATGCACTGCGCTCCTTCCAGCCCTAAGTCTGTTAAGGTCTACCCTTGGTTCACTTGTGATTTTTTAAGGAGGCATATAAATAGTGTAACAAAGAACTGGGATTGTTCCTCTTTTTGTTCTCTCTTTCAGCAATACCAGTATTTGTTTCTGGTTATTATGCACATATCTATTTCTTCTCACCTATATTCCTTCAAACCAAGAAAAAATAATAGCAAATGGTTAAGTTTATCAGTATTGTGTGTGTCATCCATTGTTTGAGAATTTCTCTATTTCCTTGCTGTGAGCCTTTTTAAAAGACTTAAGGTTTGCATCTGGTATATAGTGTTTAAAAGTGTGAAGTTGTTTATTTAAAAGTATATCCCTCGTTTTTTTGAAAATATTTGAAAGGGCATATAAAATACATAGAAAACAACCTAGATAAAAATAGATGAGTTTGGTCATTTCCACCTTCCTCTTGTGTATTCCCATACTGTGCTGCATTCTGTCCTTGAGATGCAGCTTTCCACTGCTCCCATGTGCCCTCTGGAACATTCCTACGTCCTCATCCTCTTTATTCTTTGCTCTCTCCTCTCTCTCCTGACTGAAACCTGGTTTAGCCTGAGGACCTGCTTCTCCTACAGCCTTTCAGGACAATACTCTGCTTCTCCCACACTCTGTGGACCTCAGGGTCACTTCTCAATACCTTCTCACACCACTATTTCTATCAGGACACTCTCCTTTGTGGTCCTGCCAAGTGGTCTCATCATTCTATGCCCCTCATCACTATCATTGCTACACCTCATTTGCTGAAAATTTTGGTTCCTGGGTCACAGTTATCCACTTTGGCCCAGATTATGCTGCCATCCTGATCATCTTCATTGTCTGTGTGGACAATTCTTCCAGCCCTATAGCTTCTGGGTCCCTTCGCCTCCTCTGACTCAGTGGCATTTGCCTCCCTTCACTTCCACCAGCCACACTCATGGCTTCCCCATTCGGTCTTGTCATCACCCTGAATATTTCTCCACCTCTGAAATCTGAACCCCCACCTTTTCACCACAACCTCGTATCTTTTCATGTCTCTTACTTGGCTATTCCAACTATATCCACTACTTCATCAGCTCCCCTTATCTTTATTTTTTTCTCTCTTCGGCTTTAATTCTGAATCATCACTTTAGCCACTCTCCTGCCAAATTCCGTGATTTTTCTGCCACTGTCCTCAAATTCCGTGATTCATTGCCCCTCCACCATGCTCCCTGGCAAAATCCCCACCCTGATGATCCCAACTGTGCACTTCCGTGAGCCCAGGCCCAGGCTTCTCAGCACTGCTGGGGACGCAGCTCAGACTGGTGCACTGCAAGTTCATGTTCTCTCACCTCACCTGGGTTCTCAGGGCCATTAGGACAGGCGAAGACTGTAGTTGACAAACACTGCAGAACCAGTATTTAAAGCATCCTTATTCTTTATTTCCTTCTTTGAGTGGAAGAGGTTCCTGACCTAATTTAATTCCATGCAGTTAAAGATAGTAATTTGGTAGGGGAGCAGGACTCATGGCCCCTGTTTATATGTGTTTGTGAGGCAAAATTAGGGAACTAAAATCAATATAATTCAATATATACATATGAAAACATAATAACCAATGGTGAAAAGCTTGTTCTTCAGCCTCTTATCTGACAGTTTTGAATGTCTTGAGACCACAGGTTGTGAAAGAAGTTAAGAATTAAGAATTTTTTTTAAGAAATATAAATTGTGTTTTCATGCATGCTTTTATTAAAATGATTAAATGAAAGTGTCAGGTTATAGAAATAAAGAAGATCTAAAATTATATCTAGAACACTTCTAAAAAGTGTTAATCTGGTTCACTTTTGTGATTTGGATTATGAGCTGATTCGTAGCCCACTCCTCCACTCCCCATCCCCACCAAGGTCCTTCAGCAGAAAGACCTGCTGTGAGATGTAAGCAGCAAAGAACTGTACTATGTCTTCACTACAGTGCTTCCCTTTCCTCCTCTGTTTTCAGTTCTAAGATATCACCTACGTTACATTACAGTTTACAAGGCACTTTCCCGTAACTTCTCATTACTCCTTATTGTACTAGTGAGATCATAATTTCTACAATGTTAGAAATTGTATGTGAAGTTTGGGTCTAATAGCCAGAAGCCAGAGTTGTGAACCCCTCACTCTACCCCCTAATATTTACCCTAGCTAAAGTTTAGGATACAAGTTGCTATAGCAGTGAGAGGAGCTATTTAGCCTTCTTGTTACTGGGAGAAATGTAAATGTTGAATAAATTTGGAAAACTAAATGCTTTTAATAACTTAATATACTTATTTATTTATTTATTATATTATATATTATATAGTATTAAGCAATTTAATAAATTTGGGAAATTAAATCAATATATTCCAGAGAAACTAAATCAGTGATTTCTGATGACTGATACATCCTATATTCAAAAACAATCCCCAAAGTTAGTCAATATGAAGTATATAAGAGTAATATATAAATGGCTTTGACAAAGCTGTTTTATCCACTGTGGGTTCGTTAAGTAACAGATAACCTGCTTTTGTAACAGATAATCCACAATCTCAGTGGTTTAACACAATAAAGATCTATTTATTGCTCACTCCATAAGGTCATTCTAGGACCAGGTACTTTTCAACTAGTGGCTCTGCCATTTTTTAGGATAAGGGCCAGCAAACTTTTTCTGTAAAGTTCCAGATAGTAAATATTTCAGGCTTCGTGGGCCAGGTGGTCTCTGTTGCAACTACTCAAGTTTGCCATTGTGCACAAAAGCAACTGTAGATAATACAGAAACAATTTAGCGTGGTTGCATTCCAATAAAACTTTATTTATCAACATTGAAATTTGAATTTGATGTAAGTTTCATGTGTCACAAAATAGTATTCTTCTTTTTATTTTTTTAACTATTCAAAAATGTAAAAATATTTTGGCTTGCAGGCAGTACAAAAACAGGCAGTGGTCTGGGTTTGCCCTGCAGGCCATAGTTTGCCCACACCTGTCTAGGGCCTCCTCCAAGGCCTCAGTTTTTCTCTGCATCTTCTACATCCAGACAGCAATGAAATATCTTGTGGGAGATTTTAGGTGCCAATCCTAGATCTCACATCATGCCCCATACCACCGCATTTCATTGATCAGAATTAGTTACAGGCCGTACCCTCCTAGGGTGCAAGAGGTTTAGAAAACACGGTTCTTCTATGTGCCCAGGAGGAAAATGAAATGGTATGAGGAATGAACAGTAACATATTTTCCATCAAATAATATTTCTCTACATTTCCCATTCTTCTTGCCTTTCCTTAAAATTTTTCTCCCTTTTCTTTTCTCTTCCCTAATCTGGATGGTTCAACTTCCCCAATTTTACCTGTCTTAATATGTCTTTCTTCAAGGCCAATTTCAAATGTCTTTGTCTTGAAGCTTCTGTTGATTCAGTCAACTAAATATAATGTCTGTCTTTGAATCACCAAAGAAATTTGAACTTCTTACATCACTTACTTTACCATAGAGGATGGATATTTGTGAACTCTTCTTCCCATCACTAGATTATAAACTCCCTTAGGGTTGATGCTACTCATGGTGTGGTGTTTTGTTTTATTTTAAAATATATATGTATGTATGTATGTATGTATGTATATGTGTATATATATATATTATCAGTATTATCAGTATATATATATATATAAACAGTTTTATTGAGATGTAACTCGTATACTGCTTTAAATTCACCCTTAGAAAGCATACAATTCACTGTAAACTAGTGCAGCTGCTATGGACAATAGTATGGCAGTTCTCCAAAAAGTTAAAAAGTAGAATTACCGTATGATCCAGCAATTCCACTTCTGGGCATATATCCAAAAGAATTGAAAGCAGGGACTCAAATTGATATTTGTACATTTTTGTTCATAGCAGAATTATTTACAACAGACTAAAGATGGAAGCAACCCAAGTTGCCCATTGACAAATGAGTAGATAAACAAAATGTGGTATATACATACAATGGAATATTATTCAGCCTTAAAATGGAAGAAAATTCTGACACATGCTACAAAATGGATGAATCTTGAGGACTTTAGGCCAAGTTAAATAAGCTAGTCACAAAAGGACAAATACTGTATGATTCCACTTATATGAGGTACCTAGAGCACAGTAATCAAATTCATGGAGATAGAAAATAGAATAGTTGCTAGGGGCTGGGGAGCAGGGATAATGGGGAGTTATTGCTTAGTGGGCACAAAGTTTCAGTTTATGGTTTTAAAGCGTTCTGATGTGGTTGTAAAATGTTGTGAATGTACTTAATGCCACTGAACTGTACACTTAAAAATGATTACGATGTTACATCTCATGTGTATTTTGCCACAATTTTAAAAAATAAAAAAATGCATAATAACTATCACTAAAGAAAAAATACAATTCAGTGGTTTTTAGATATTCACAGAGTTGTACAATCATTGCCACATCAATTTCAGCACATTTTCATCACCTCAAAAAGAAAACCTGCATGCATCAGTAGCCACGCCTCATCACCCCTCCCCCAGCCACTGGCAACCACTGGCTGCTTTCTGTCTCTATGGATTTGCCTATTCTGGACATTTCATATAAATGGAATCATACAATATGTGACCTTTTGTGTCTGGCTTTTTAAACTTAGCATAATGTTTTCAAAATTCATCCATGTTGTCGCATATATCAGTACTTATTCCTTTTAATGCCCAAATAATATTCTATATTTTATGTATTCATCAATCAATGGACATTTGAGTTGTGTCTACTTTTTGGCTATTTTGAGTAATGCTGCTATGAATATTCATGAGCAAGTTTTGTGTGGACGTATGTTTTTAATTCTCTTGGAGATATATACAGATAAAAGTGGAAGTGCTAGATCATGTGGTAACTTCACATTTAACATTCTGAGTAACTGCCAAACTGTTTCCCACAGCAGCTGCACCATTTTACACTCTGCCAGCAATGTATCAGGGTTGTGATTTCTCTCTACATCCTCACCAACACTTGTTATTGTCTTTCTTTTTCATTATAGCCATCCCAGTGGGTGTGAAGTGGTATCTCATTATGGTTTTGATTTGCATTTCCTTAATGACTAATGTTGTTGAACATCTTTTCATGTGCTTATTGGCCATCTGTATCTCTTCTTTGGAGAAGTGTTTATTAGATCCTTTGCCCAATTTTAAATTGGATTACTTGTCTTTTTATTGTTGAGTTGTAAGAGTTCTTTATATACTCTGAATGCAAGTCCCTTATCAGATATATGAGTTGCAAACATTTTCTTACATTCCGTGGATTGACTTTTCACTTTCTTTATGGTGTCCTTTGAAGTACAAAAGTTTTTAACTTTGATGACATTCAATTTCTTTTTTTCTTCTGTTGTTTGTGCTTTTGGTGTCATATCTAAGAAATCATTGCCTAATCTAAGATCACAAGGATTTACTCATCAGATTTACTTGTAAGAATTTTATAGTTTTAACTCTTACATTTAGTTCCATGATCCATTTTCAGTTAGTTTTTGGATATGGCATGAGGTAAGGATCCAACATTCTTTTGCATGTGGATATTCAGTTGTTCTAGCACCATTTATTGAAAAGACTATTTTTTCCCCATTGAATGGTCTTGGCACCCTTGTCAAAAATCAATTTGCCATAGTGTATGGGTTTATTTCTGACTCTCAGTTCTATTCCATTGATCTATATGTCTGTCCTTATGCCAGAACCACAGTCTTGAATACTGTAGTTTTGTTATGTTTTGAAATTGGGAAGAGGAAATCCTCCAACTTTGTTCTTCCTTTTATTTATTCTTACTGAAGCTTAATTGATTATACATTCTTTTTAAATATTGTTTTGGCTCTTCTGGGTTCCTTGCATTTCTGTATAAATTTTAGGATCAACTTGTTAATTTCTGCAAAAAAAAAAAAATCTGGGATTTTATAGTGATTGTATTGGCTCTGCAGATCAATTTGGGTAGTATTGCCGTCTTAACAATATTAAGTCTTCCGACTGAACATTGGATGTCTTTCCTCTTATTTAGGTCTTCTTTAGTTTCTTTCAACAATGTTTTGTAGTTTTTACTATACAAGTCTTCCTATTCTTTGTTAAATTTATTCCTAAGTGTATTATTATTTTTGATGCTATCGTAAGTAGAATTGTTTTATTTCATATTCAGATTTTTCATTGTTAGTATATAGAAATATAATTGATTTTTATTATTGATTATGTATCCTGCAACCTTGTTGGACTTGTTTATTCTAATAGCTTTTGTGTGTGTGTGCGTGTGTGTGTGTGTGTGTGCAAATTCTACTAATTTTTATATCCTCTGGAGCACTTAACACAGTGCCTAGTCCTAACTAGTTCTCAATCCATTTGTATTTCCTGAATCAATCTCTTTAAATGCCACATTGCCACAGAAGCCTTCCATCCAGCGAATAATTTTCCAGTTTCTAATATCATTAAATCATTCTTTTTATCCTTCACTCTTTATCTGCAGGCTTGGGAACAATGGGCCGAGGCATTGTCATTTCTTTTGCAAGGGCCAATATCCCTGTGATTGCTGTAGAACCAGACAAAAAACAGCTAGAGACTGCAAACAAGATAATAACCTCTATCTTGGAAAATGATGCAACCAAGATGCAGCAGAGTGGCCACTCTTGGTCGGGACAGAAACCCAGGTTAACTTCTTCTATAAAGGACCTTGGTGATGTAGATTTAGTCATTGAAGCAGTATTTGAAGAAATGAAGCTGAAGAAGCAAGTCTTCGCTGACCTGTCAAATGTGTGCAAGCCAGAAGCTTTTTTGTGCACCAATACTTCAGGCCTGGATGTTGATGAGATTGCTTCTTCTACTGATCGTCCTCACTTGGTCATTGGCACCCACTTCTTCTCACCAGCTCACGTCATGAAGTTATTAGAGGTTGTTCCCAGCCAATACTCTTCCCCTACTACCATTGCCACGGTTATGAACTTATCAAAAAAGATTAAAAAGATTGGAGTAGTTGTAGGCAACTGTTTTCAGTTTGTTGGGAATCGAATGATGAATCCTTATCACAATCAGGCATATTTCTTGTTAGAAGACGGCAGTAAGCCTGAGGAGATAGATCAGGTGCTGGAAGAGTTTGGTTTTAAAATGGGACCTTTTAGAGTGTCTGATCTTGCTGGGTTGGATGTGGGTTGGAAATCTCGAAAGGAAAAAGGTCTTACTGGACCTACATTACCTCCAGGAACTCCTGCCCGAAAGCGGGACAATAGGAGATATTGCCCAATTCCTGATATGCTTTGTGAATTAGGACGATTTGGCCAGAAGGTAGGTAAGGGTTGGTATCAATATGATGAACCATTGAGTAGGGTTCACAGACTTGATCCCTGGCTTTCCAAATTTCTGTCACAGTATAGGGAAACCCATCATATTGAACCACGTATCNGTGTGTGTGTGTGCAAATTCTACTAATTTTTATATCCTCTGGAGCACTTAACACAGTGCCTAGTCCTAACTAGTTCTCAATCCATTTGTATTTCCTGAATCAATCTCTTTAAATGCCACATTGCCACAGAAGCCTTCCATCCAGCGAATAATTTTCCAGTTTCTAATATCATTAAATCATTCTTTTTATCCTTCACTCTTTATCTGCAGGCTTGGGAACAATGGGCCGAGGCATTGTCATTTCTTTTGCAAGGGCCAATATCCCTGTGATTGCTGTAGAACCAGACAAAAAACAGCTAGAGACTGCAAACAAGATAATAACCTCTATCTTGGAAAATGATGCAACCAAAATGCAGCAGAGTGGCCACTCTTGGTCGGGACAGAAACCCAGGTTAACTTCTTCTATAAAGGACCTTGGTGATGTAGATTTAGTCATTGAAGCAGTATTTGAAGAAATGAAGCTGAAGAAGCAAGTCTTCGCTGACCTGTCAAATGTGTGCAAGCCAGAAGCTTTTTTGTGCACCAATACTTCAGGCCTGGATGTTGATGAGATTGCTTCTTCTACTGATCGTCCTCACTTGGTCATTGGCACCCACTTCTTCTCACCAGCTCACGTCATGAAGTTATTAGAGGTTGTTCCCAGCCAATACTCTTCCCCTACTACCATTGCCACGGTTATGAACTTATCAAAAAAGATTAAAAAGATTGGAGTAGTTGTAGGCAACTGTTTTCAGTTTGTTGGGAATCGAATGATGAATCCTTATCACAATCAGGCATATTTCTTGTTAGAAGACGGCAGTAAGCCTGAGGAGATAGATCAGGTGCTGGAAGAGTTTGGTTTTAAAATGGGACCTTTTAGAGTGTCTGATCTTGCTGGGTTGGATGTGGGTTGGAAATCTCGAAAGGAAAAAGGTCTTACTGGACCTACATTACAGGTGCTGGAAGAGTTTGGTTTTAAAATGGGACCTTTTAGAGTGTCTGATCTTGCTGGGTTAGATGTGGGTTGGAAATCTCGAAAGGAAAAAGGTCTTACTGGACCTACATTACCTCCAGGAACTCCTGCCCGAAAGCGGGACAATAGGAGATATTGCCCAATTCCTGATATGCTTTGTGAATTAGGACGATTTGGCCAGAAGGTAGGTAAGGGTTGGTATCAATATGATGAACCATTGAGTAGGGTTCACAGACTTGATCCCTGGCTTTCCAAATTTCTGTCACAGTATAGGGAAACCCATCATATTGAACCACGTATCATTAGCCAGGATGAGATCCTTGAGCGCTGCTTATATTCACTTATCAATGAAGCATTCCGTATCTTGGGAGAAGGGATAGCTGCTAGCCCAGAGCACATTGACGTTATCTATTTATATGGGTATGGATGGCCAAGGCACAGGGGTGGGCCCATGTTCTATGCCTCCACAGTTGGATTGCCCACAGTGCTAGAGAAGTTGCAGAAATATTACAGGCAGAATCCTGATATTCCCCAACTGGAGCCCAGTGACTATTTGAAAAAACTGGCTTCCCAGGGAAACCCTCCTCTGAAAGAATGGCAAAACTTGGCAGGGCCCCCCAGCAGTAAATTGTGATGCAGCCTTTCAGGTAATGCTTCATATGCTGGCATCAGGTAATACTGAATTTCAATGATATTAAATCTAAAAATTCAAAGTAAGATTGCTCTGAAATACAAAGCAAAAGAAATAATCGGTCAGCAAAATCTCCTCTTTGCGTCTTCTGTCTGATGATTCTACTGGGTCAGATCTTTAGGAATGTGCTTCCTGTGCCTCTGAATCTGTCCCTATAAGATAAACTCAATGAATAAACCTGTGTTAATACCATAATAGGTGATGAGAGAGCCTCAGAAATAGTTGAGGTTCCCAAGTGTTTTGATCATTAGAGAAATGTCAGCAATTAATAAATGATAAATACAGCTAAGTCAGAAATTTATTTTGACTTTTTTCAACCTTACACACATAATATTGATGGGAAATCTTAAAGATTGTACATTCAATAAACATTTATTGAGTGCTTCCTGAGCGTCTTGCACCGTCTGAGAGCACTTGGCATATCTATAATCCAGAGGGGCATTAAACCAGTAAGGAAGCCTGTAATGAAGTGCAGTTTGTAGTCCTCAGAGGTAGAGTGGCCGAAGGCTGGAATTGTTGAGGGGTGGGAATGGGGAGTGACTGCTAGTGGGTACAGGATTTCTTTTGGGGTTGATAAAAATGTTCTAAAATTGTGGTGATGGTTGCATAACTGTGAATATACTAAAAACCACTGAGTTGTATACTTTAAGTACGTGAATTGTATGGTATGTGAATTATACCTTAATAAAGTCATTAATAAATAAACATATAAATGGGGCTGAAATTGTCCTTCAGTGAACTGTTTTCACAATATTTTCACCTCTGAATCCAAACAAAATTATCAAAAGTCCTCATGGAGAGATCTCGAATGAATAGAATATAAATTTTCTATTGTAAACAAAGACCAAACAACAACAACAACAAAAGAGTGCGCCTTGAATTATAGTTCAATTTAGAATAAATTTTGAGATATATATACTACTGGATTTTATGTAACTTGATTTTTGAAATTAAAGACATAAATGGAAAAGATTCCTGAAAGTAGTCACTTTGTCTCCAAAGTGACTATTTTCAAGTTAATGTTTAAAAACAAACAAACAAAAAAAA